TCCGGGATCGGAACCGAGATTTATCGTTCCAACTCGGTAGGTATTGGTGATTCAAGTGATTAATGTCTGACACAGATTATCATAAATGTGTGTGTTGGTGGAGTCCAACAAACTCAGACACTTCAAAGTAACTTTTGCTGTCATAACTTTCTATAAACAGCAACAAGTTCATTTGATCTTGACCTGACTGGTCAGTGGGTCAACATGCATTCGGGTCTGACCGCATGCCCTTATTGTGGATTAATATTTACGATGATTGAGAAATATCGTTTAAATCTTTCTGCAAACAAAAACGAAATATTCTGTAATAAAATAACCTCTAAGTGGTTTAGCATTCTGGATCATAAAAATTGATTAACAATTTTCAAACTTATTACCGTTGAGTAATAATTCGCTTCAACAATGAATGCATGAATTCGAGGACCCAAAATTTTTTTATCGGTTGTTGAAGATAGGAAAAACACCCTTGCGTTTTATCTTACAAAGATTGTTTCAGTGTTGTGAATATAAAATAGATCCATGCAGCAAGTTCGATAATGTATTGGGGTCAGCCTACTCGGTCCACGCTGTGCGGAGCGATCGTTGGCAGCGGGCATCGTACGTCTGGAGGCCCTATTAGCACACCATCAATCGTCGGCATGGAATGACGTGCAATCATTACCGGTTCCTGTTACAGGCTTTGTCCTAAACTGGCCACGCGCTCAGTACCAGAGAAAAGTTATGATTCATGACAATTTTATCCACAATTCTTGTTTAAGTTAAAAATGATCTATTACCACTGTCAAAATTCATGCACGAATGAAATAGAGCATGATATAAAGTATCTTACGGTTAAAAATTGAAAGGGAAAAATAAATCGTATTGAATATTAACTATCGTTTTGAAAATTTGATCATTTAATAAACATGCCTAGCACTTTTCATTATATCTGCAACAAATATATAAGAATTCACGAAAAATTTCCTACATTGTACATGTTTACCCTTCTACTAAGCAACCGTATTTCACTCAACACTTTTTAGTGTACAAAGAGCGTTGTGTTGATGGCTTTCACCCGACCGCAGTGCCTGCTCTGTTCACAAAGCCGCTTTTCAATCGCCTGGATCGTTATACAGGCCATAATTTGTAGAAATCAATGGCTTTGCCTTGCGTCTGTCAATACTTGGCAACCAGCAGGCTCCAGCTTGTGAAGTTAGAGGATAACTTTTGTTTTGATGCTTGGCCATCAGCAGCCTCTAACTAGTGAAGTAAGTCTACCTATTATAACAATGCTTGACCATCAGCAGCCTCTAACTAGTGAAGTGTGTCTACCTATTATAACAATGCTTGACCATCAGCAGCCTCTAACTAGTGAAGTGTGTCTACCTATTATAACAATGCTTGACCATCAGCAGCCTCTAACTAGTGAAGTAAGTCTACCTATTATAACAATGCTTGATCATCAGCAGCCTCTAACTAGTGAAGTAAGTCTACCTATTATAACAATGCTTGATCATCAGCAGCATCTAACTAGTGAACTTAGATGAAAACTTTTATGTGAATACCTGGCCATAAGTAGCCTCTAAATAATGGAATAATATGATAACTTTTATGTCGTTGAGGTTAGCAGGGACGAACCTGGTCAGAGATAGCATGTGTTGTTCGTACTTGGACGTCTGAGTTTGCGCCAGGATGTTAGTATGCGAGAAACTTAAAATTACGTTAAACAGTCACTAAAAACTGAAAATGTAATCCAGTAATTCTGACTACGTTGGAAGTAAATTCACGTGTTTTGGAAAAAAAATTACAACAAGAAGATGAATAAAAACGTGCTACAAAGTTATTCTAAATCATTGTTTCCGATTTTTTTTAATTTTTGGGCTGATGATTACTTTTACACGACTTTTTTCTGCTGCTTCAAATGCTCAGTGAAGCTTAATGTTTTTTGATCGTTCTGTTTTGAGTTGAATATATATACGGGACTGTAGCGGCGTTACATTTAAAGTGTCAATACTCATGCCGTTATTGAGATGCCATTGGTAGAAATACATTGCGGGTAAGAGAGTGGGCAGTCTGATGAACTTATTAATATTACTTAACCCTCATATTTTGGGATATAAGGATATAATTTTTATATCATTATTGATATAAAATATTGTATCCCTCATATTTTGGGATAAAATGTGTGCTTTAATATTTAAATAGTACAGTATAGTATACAATACTATAGTAATATAGGATAGTATAATTTAGAATAGTATCTTCGACTTTGAAGGAAAGGCCTTTCGCAGATACTTGTAACGCATGGTTCACGGAAACTTCCTGTTTTGCATTTCGCGCCAAGCAATTAGATTTCGTAGGAAAAGGACGAAAAGTATTTTCTATGAAAGGCAAGGTCATGACGTTTTGTTTCCCGCTCTACAGATAACTTTACTTAATGGACCCCACATCAAAATATGTGCGGGTAAAACTTGCACTACATCTGGCTACGTCTTGGAATACAAAATACTTGGACTAGATAATATGGGGTACAATATTTGTACTACATAATGTGGGATATAATATACTTGCACTACATATTGTGGCGTTTAATACTTGCACTACATAATGTGGGATACAATTCTCATCGAATATGAAAATTCGTAACATATCTATTACTGTTCTAACAGGAATGTTTGGACAATTTATAACTTTAATTGAATTACAGAGAGAATCTCGTTAATTTTGTCAGTTCCTGCAGGAGCAAAATCTGACAATATAAAATATTTGTATTTTTTGAGACAGAATGTTTCTTATATTTTGAAATGAGAATGAATTTCAGAGAATGAATTTCATACCTGCTCGCGTACTTTTTTTTTACTTAGGTTTGTATGCCGCACCACCAAATGTCAATGATTTTATACCGGATTATGGTTGCTGTCTGTCGTCACTTGATAAAAATTATATTGTCTAGGGATTTTAGACAACATTATACTATAAAATCGATCATCTGCTGAGATGAAAATATTCACGTTTAAAAATTACTTTTTATTTTTGACGATAGTAAGATGCTAGTGTGGCTCAGATGAAGAGCCAGAAATCTTCACAATAGGTATGGGTTCTTGACAGCGAAATGCCATAGCTTAATTAACCCCAAGAAAGGTATTGAGAGCACGCTGCACAATTCCCATTACTTCTTTCGTGTTAATTGGAAAGCATAAACGGTGGTTTTTAATTCAAATTACGCGTTAAATTGTTATTGCTGTTCAAGTTTTGTTGCATTAACTGCTTTAAAGAAAAATAGTTCATAACCAATGCAGATGGGACCCTCGTAAAAAATAAGTTGAATGCTGGTATTAGAAACCGTAGACTTTTTAAGCTTTAGGCGCGATATAATTCAAAACGAACACGAAGCGAAAGCTTTATATTCGGCCTTGATATTAAATTCAGTCTTGTTTCATCGAATTATGAGATAGCAAAAAAAAATATTTTAAACCTTTGCAGCGCTGACAAAGTTCCAGATTTAGGACTGGTCATTACGGTCTCCATGCAACGTGACGGCCCTCGTGTGTGTGCTTAGGCAAAACTCACCTCAAGCTTCATTGATTATCACCTCGATCGTGGTGTGAAAGCCTAATAAATATGACCTGGATTACACCAATAGCTACTTAACTGCCACTAATTTGCTTTTATTAACACTTGCCTAACCATAATTAATTTATTAGCGACGAAAAATTGTTTAAAATCATTTTGGATCTCAAATGAAACTCTCATGTAGTCGAAATAAGTACCATTTCAAATTGAAAAATGTATCCAGCGTTTCCAAGATTTATTTGTATCGCAGGTCTCAATGTTGCCAATTGTGCTTTTATGATATTTATTATCATTTACTGCTATAGAGGCTTCAATCGCTTTTGATGATAATTTCAATTCACTTTCTTCAACTATATCTACTTTGTTGCCAGGTCTTTAAATGACACGAATTTAAGCCTTTAAACGTCTGCTAGCCAGATGTGCTGTGAACGCCGCTTTAATGGTACTGTTTCGACGGTGAAGTTGTTGAAAATCTCTCATGCTTCTTGTTGACTAAAAAAATATTAGATTGTTCGCCGAGAAATATATATATCATCAATTCATTGTCAAACTTATTATACGCAAATAAATTAAAAGAAACAATACACATGCATATCATATGCGAATAAATTCTCATCTGCAGCGCCATAACAATCCGTTATTATATCTCGGCAATGCAGCACCGCCGGCCGCACGACAGTCCCTATCAGTGAGCGTCTCACTATTGACACGTCCCTGCTTAACTTATTGACATGTTCCTGCTTAACATATTGACATGTTCCTGCTTAACATATTGACACGCGCACGGCTAATTATCTTGCTTATAGAATAGAATAGAATAAAAGTGTCGGCACTGAAGAAATAGGCCCATGGCCTGTTGCCAATTCTTGAACTTTTCGTGACTTGATTCACAAGGGATCCTGCCTTTGGAACCCGATCTTTCCATAACTGACGATTGATTGCGATAGCTGCTGGACTTATTGCCTGGTCTATTGACACGTTCCTGCTTAACATATTGACACGCGCACGGCTAATTATCTTGCTTATGGTCCATCAATTTAATTGATTCAGTGTGCATTAACATTGATATTGCGTGCGAAACCATAATTTTTGTGCAAAATCCATAAATATAAACATTCTTTACATTAACTGTCATCGTTGTTTGACAGGTGATTAAATGAGAAAGTCGAAACGCCGAGTGGTAACATAGAAAAAAAATGTAATTGAGATCATCTTACAATAACCGATAGTTGCCGCCTTGAGAGAGCGAGGGGATTCGTATTGCGATCATTTTGTCGGTTTATTTTAATTTCTCATTTCTCCATTGAAAGTGGAAATTGTGATATTCACTATCAGAGTGAACAGGAAGCAATTCTGCACCCAATATACGATCTCATTATGAATTTTTATTCCAGCTTTAACACAAGTAAATATATCACTGCTAATTATATCTTTTTCGTGTTTTTCAGGTCAGAAGATCAGTTCCGGACGGTAGCGAAGCATTATGCTCACATGAGCGTCGCCGACTCTATTTCCAAAGTCGCTGCGCGGATGATCAGACTCAACAGAAATTCTCGAGACGAAACAATTTTCAACTCTCGAGCTGACATCAGCACAGCTAGCAGCACCCTCAGCAACGGCGAATTCAAATCCGTAGCAATCATCAGCAACGCTGACGCGGCTCCAGGGAGGAGAGGCGCTGCCGAGGACTCGCTTATTCGAGTTCAAAGCGAAGACGGCGGCAACAACGCTTGGGGCGACAACCTTGACTTTGAACCTCATCTAACTTTCGCTCGCTTACCTCCGGTAACTGAGGACTCGTTCCCGAGATACCCAGCCCCAGACAGGTTAATAAACAATGATGGTCTAGAAACGAATATTTTAGACAGTTATAATAATCATGCAAGTAATTTTGTAGACATTGACTTCCCACCAACCAGAGGCGATTGGCGTGTTGACAACACCAACAGACAACCCCGAGGGAACGGTAACTTCAACCACAATTTTGTTGAAATTCCTGAACCAGTTGATCGATCAGGGCGATTCCCTGTAAATAAATGGTAGCCATAAAAATAATCTAATACACTAGAATACTTTATGTTGTTATTATCTTAGCTATTGTGAACCTCGCCTATCATTGATTTCATGGCAGGAATCATGATCAGAATCCAGCTCTGCACTGTCATGAGTAACGTTCATCCCAGAAGTTGGTCGGGCAAACGAAACGTTGGGTTCTGTTTTCGTTTTATTTTAGGATTGCCACGCTGGTGAAGTGGCCGGATTTAAATAATTTGAAAGCGAGCTGCGGCCGCGAAACCTTCAACTTGCTGTAAAAATTGTAATTGAAACCAGTGAGGTGGCCGAGTTGTTAAAAAACACTAAGATTGCTGTGACTTGCGGGTTCGAGAACCGTATCAAGTAGCAAAATATTTGAGACGTCTATAAACGAAAAAAATATAACTCAGTACTCACTGCAGTGAGTGACAGAGAGCGCATTTTCTCGTCGACGAAAACTTGAGGTCACGGACGGACAGACATGGCGAGCACAATAGTGCATTTTTTCCATAAATGAGATAATGCGCTAAAAACGGCTACCGACTTTACAAGGCCTAATCCTCGCCGAAATATCTCTGAATAAGCTGTGTAGTCAGTACAATCGCACAACTATTGCTATAGAATTATTGCTTCCATTTTTGGCCGTTGATCGCAAAGATTTGTGATATTTTCAAATCGGCATCAGAAAGAGTTCCAGGGAAAGCTAGGAATGTGTGTTAAGCGTATACAATTTCTCCTAAGGTTCTTTAACTAGAACTGGTTTTGCTGGTCGAACTCGGATTTTCGAAAATTCTTGGCCCTAGAAATGCTCATATGATTATAAATGATGCTTAGAAAATATTCCTGAGCAGTAATTTTTTAAACCTTCGTCTCTTACTGGCCAGCAATTCCTCATTGAACCATTATTTTGTATGCACCTGAATACACCGGAGTATAAGCGCACCTTAATTTACGCTTGCTTGTTAGCGCGAGATCCAAGTGTGCCGACTAAATGATGACACACTGAACTTGAGACGCCATTGTTCAAAATAACGATATTGTACGAATTTTTATGTGTTTTTACTGCATATATGCAATAATCATGCACTATTTAGTATTAATTTGACAATACGCTGAGTGAAACTTGGTGTATGAAACTTCGATTTTACGAATAATCATGTGAGGCAGTAACATATGTACCAGAATTCTCTCAATACCATAATATGTATATATCTGTTTGACCCGTATATTATATAGTGACATACGTTGCACTTCAGGACATATTTTGTATTAATTTTTGGAGATTCAAACAAGAACATGCATACGTCACAATGTCACATACGTACCCACACTCTTAGAACATTTATTTTCTGTGTTGGTGAAGGTTTAGTCGTTTTAATTTATTACTATATAATATACTGACTGATCATCTAAGCAAAGATTCACGACACTGAGGATAGGCTTCGTATTTTGAATGATTTATTTCCGATAATAAATTTGTAATTCGCGTTTATAATTTCTATCTCTAACGAACGAATGCTGCTGGTCACTTCGTTACGTAGCTACTTCTTACAGTAACGCAGGCCCGAAAGTCTCGCTAAATTAAGGAATTTGAATTTTGTTTTGGTGGAACTGTTCTAAGATCCTGCATCACAAGAATGAATAACTAAACGCTCAAAGAGCATATATGCAAGTACAATTATTCGCTTAATATCCCATATTGTCTTAATACCTAATGATAACTCTAAGCCGGTAACACCAATGTGAAACATTTTCTGCCTCCTACCACTGGGAACAATAAATCGTACTGATGCTTCGAAATAATTTTCAATTTACCATCCGAGAAATGTGATGCTACGCCTGCGGCCTGCCCAACGTACCTGTCAGCTATAAATGGAAGTCAGAAACTTGGATGCACGTCAAAGTTAAAAATTGAAAAGCGCAAAAATACCAGAGCATAGAAAAAACAACGGCTTTTTAGCGTGTTATGTTCATGTTGGAACAGAAATACAAACTTGAAATCGACGGTAAATTCTTTTATTAACAGAAAATAAGCTCCTTGCAAACACCAGGAAAAAGATACGATGCTCTAGTCTAGATACAAAAACTAAAGGCGAAAATAAAATATCAACGCTTGAGAATAGGCGGTAGTGCAGACTATTTATCAAGTCAATTTATTAGTAAATAATGCATACACTTGCTTTAATCAGACGCCTCAGCACAACTATTTTAGGGGCTCTGTTTCCTCGTTTCGCAAAACGCAACAATAAACTGCGAAAAATGGACTACTCAGAATGGACTATGGAGCAGTAGGAAGATTTATGGAACCCTAGGTTATCGGGATATATTATAAATAATTCTGGACACAAAATATTTAGTAAATATTTGAACAGAAAAAACATACACTATTTTTCTTGGCTCAAATATTGGATCCATTACTACATTGCCTCAGGAACAAAAACATTGCTTGTTCTACTCCCATTTTAAAACTTCTAGCAAATAAAAAAAAGAGCTTCAAGTGTACTTATTGTGACCACTCATAATTTTCTAGCATTCTTCCCTTATTTGACGGTTAATTTTTCGTTAACGATTGGTGACTGAGATTGCGACGCCGCGGAGAGCATTTGCATTGAAGCAAATATGAGACCAATAGAAGACAAGCATTTTTCGTCTAGGAAATCATCACTTAATTAAATACAGTCTATTTACTATTTAATGGAATATCATAGATCACCTAAAATTTCAAACAAAATCTTTCAGTTCCTTTGCTAAGTGACGAATTATACGGGTAAGTAATGAGACACGTTGTCCAATATTGAACTGACAAAACATTCATAATAACTTCAAGAAACGCCTTTTCAACCAGTCTGAAGACTTGAATTTGCTAACAACATGGTAGTCCCCCGAAAAATCTTGCCAATAGCGACGAATTTCAATGCACAGAAAATGTAGAAAAATTTCACCGTTGACCAGTTTACTTTCGAAGAATTACCACAGTGAACGCTGCTCGAATTATCCTGCAGCGTTGCAAGTTCATCAAACGACAAAGCTCCGTAGACGGGAGTCAATGGACAGAGGAGCTGAGGACACAACATTGCACGAAGCGCGGCACAGGCCATCGTCTGCTACCCCAGCAGAAGCTCTTAAGCGGTGGACGCCACAGCGAGCTTCTTCAGGTGATCCATGAAGACCTGCATGCTCACGTCATCCGTCAGCACGGGGGCGCCGCCATCCTAAAGAATGATGTCAACTTATAGAAACATTTAAATTTACTTTATAAAGTTCAAAATAAAAACAATACTTCAAAATAAGCTTTTGAAAATATAACCCTTTTACAAAGACCAGTGCAACACGTAAAACCAGTGATGAGAAGAGAAGACACTTTAAAATTATTAAAAACTGATCTCATCTGAAGAAAACTGAAAACGATACATTCAATAACGGAGCAAGAAATTAATTGAAATACGAATCAGAAATCAAGTTCTGAGAGGCTCCTGGAATGGTGCACAGGGAATCGAGCGCTAATATCTCGCTTACATCGATTACAACGAAAATATCCTCCACTCAAAGGGTATACCTTAATATAGATAGAAGGAAACAATTGTGCAAAATAATCATTTTAAATCATTGGAAATAGTTACTGAAAGTTATGGACAGTGCTTCGACTTGAAATTGATTGGTTAGTGACGTTAGTTCAACAGGCTTAGTCAGTCCTCTAGCTCGGGACGCAAAAGTTTAACAGAGTAGACAAATAAAACACGTAAGGACCTCCGGACAGTATATGCAGCGCAATACACTAACTACTCTCAGTGAAGATAGACACAATCAAAATAAAGAGCCTCTTTTTAAACAGCTCGAATTTTATTTAGGATTGAGAAGGAGACAAAAAATAGAAGACCAAATAAAACCAAATGCTAAGGAACGAGAGCGTTCAAGTTTTAAACTTCACATATGGAAGCACTGAGGAACAAAATTTTCATAAATATGAATTTTTCATTTATTACCTTTCATCCCTTTATTGAAACCTAGTGATTTTCAGGATAAACCAGAAAAAATACTTTAACAACATTAGCATCAATCACAGAGCGACAGACCCTTCCTACTGAGAGCAGTATTGAAAACACAAAAGTTGCGAGTTCAAGAAAACAGACACCGCATTACGCCAGATTAAAACATAAATTGTCTACATATTTACCGCGGAAGGGTCTCCGAAGACCTGAAATGAATAATCCGCCATTTAATGCTTTGAAATATATGCGAAAAAGATGCAACTGAATAAAAGCGCCCGAAATGGCAAAATTTTGTTATGTCATTTCAAGACATAAAAATAAGCTTAGTAAAGTTTGTAAAAGTTTTACTTTGTCACATTCAGACAAAGATTATCAAAAAAGATTATTCTCTCAAACAATAATAAGTTCATTACGATTTTTTCGCCTTCCTAGTTTTAAATTAGCAATTCCACAAGAACAGCAATTGAGTGTTACAATCAGTGACGGGATGGGACGAACGAAATAAACCAGTATCCGTGCAGTATCATTTAAGAGGTAAAATTTTGAAACTCATCCGTCCGATCATAACCATAGCTTGAATTTCATAGCATCATAAAAAATCTATTCTTAGAGTCAGCTCTACTATTCTTTTCTGAAGGCATGAAAGAAAATTTAAAATATCTTGTACATCATGACACATTGACTTAGTCAGCTCTACTATTTTTTCTGTACGCAAGAAAGGAAATTAAAAATCAACTTGAAGATCATTATACATTGATAACTAACCCCGCCATAGAGAGCGTTGTTGTGGGTCTGTGATGGGTTGACTTTGCTCAACAAGAAGCGCGCTTGGGAGCCGCCCTGTTCAGTGATGACGTAGCGAGGCACTGGGAAGCGAGTTGCCAGGAGGTCTTGCGCGTCGTCCACCGGCGCCTGTAGAAGCTCGCGGAAATTGGCGTATTCTTCTTTTTCGTGGTAGCCTTCTTTCCGCCAGGCGTCCATAGTCTGCAACGAGAATCATATTTGGACACTTTATTATTCTTTGAAAACAGCTAAACTTTGGTTTAGTGTTGCAGGGTCACGAAGCAAATTTAGAAATATCCATCAAGTAAATGTGCACAATCCCCCCAAAAAACAAAAACTATTGCATAATTAACCTACATCCCAGGGACGAGTTTAACTATTCATCATTGCTGACAAATGAAGGCCAGCAAACTCACTTCGCCGTGGAAGATGAGCAAGAGGAAGAACGAGTCCAAGAGGAGGATACGGTCAGGTTGAATAGACGAACTGTCGAGCATGACAGGCTCACAGCCCGTGAAGCTGTAGCTGTACAGCACAGGCTGGATCATCGTCAAACAGTCCATGGTGATCTCTCGGTTCAAAATACATCTGTAGAAAATATGAATGTCAGTATTTTAAATTCAAATGGAATAAAATGTGTAAGAACCTCTCTTGACATGGGTTATAGTGTTGTTTTCAATATCATATCATTTAATGGCGATTTCTGCTATGAAATCTTTGAAAAGGTTTGGTCCGCAAGCACTCACGGGATATAGGAAATAATGTGGACCAGAAATTTCTTCCATTCGAATGGAAAGATGTTACAAAAACTCAATCATAAATGCTGCTGGAACAATACTAGCGGAGTAATGCTCAACATTTGACGAGTGTTTAGCACAAAGTCATTACAAGTCAGGACGAGAATGAAAGTTGCTTCTGTGACGCGAGACGGAGTAATTTTTTGGAACAATACTAGAGGTAAATCCTTGTTTAAAAACATTAAACTCCAATTAAAATATTGTACATATCATAATGAAGTAGAGTTTTCTGAGACCCAATTCAGAGATAACCTTAACAAAATGCTTTTCAGATGTGACCGCCTGATAAAAAATTTCAAGGCTAAGATAGCGGCGATCTTATTCGAGGAGTTATCTCTAATCCTAGCTGAAAGCGCAGCCAAAAAACAAGTGCATCTTTTGCTTATTAAAATTAGCAATACCCATTCAATTCAGATCAATGATCTTACCCTGAATATTAAGCTATACACTGACCTGTAGAAAGATGTCTCATCAGGCGAGTTATTAAAAACTTGTAAGAACTGCGATCGCCTCAAGTGAAACATGAATTGTGGATAAAGACTGAAGTTCTCCTGGAAGCGATAGCTGTTCGGATCATTCGGAATGAACTCTCCGAACTTCTGACACTGGAAAAAGAATGAACTGTCAGTCACCAAGTTTGTAGAAATAACCAAATACCCGTTAAATTAATTCTTCAACTCACTATTGAACATGAGGTTCTAAAGCCAACTTTTTAAAAAACATTTGCGACGGATTCCAAATTTTAATTACATAAAAAATATAATGAGAGGCATACTCTAAAATTATTAAAGCAACTAATAATTGACAAAACCGTAATAACTTGGAAGAAAAAAAAAAGAGAATATGCCAAATTTGAATGAAGACGCAATAAGTGTAGCAGGGGCGACGCACAAGCCTGATGAGCATCCTGTCAACCCATCTGAGAACGTCACTGCCCTCCTGGTCGCTGTCAGCGCGGTGCACCGCAAGCCGCGCCATCAGCACCGCTGCCGCCTCCTGGTCGAAGCCTGCGCCGATGGCACCGATGCCAGTGCTGCCTTCTGCCCACCTGCCACGATAAGCGTTAGGAGTTATTATGTTATATGAACAGTTTGTGGTACTTCATATCAACCTGCTGTTGAGTTAACATGAACAGTCTGAGGTACTTCATATTAACTTGCTCCTCAGTTAACACGAACAGTCTGAGGTACTTCATATCAACTTGCTGTTCAGTTAACATGAACAGTCGGAGGTACTTCATATCAACTTGCTGTTCAGTTAACATGAACAGTCGGAGGTACTTCATATTAACTTGCTGTTCAGTTAACATGAACAGTCGGAGGTACTTCATATGAACTTGCTGTTCAGTTTACATGAACAGTCTGAGGTACTTCATATGAACTTGCTGTTCAGTTTACATGAACAGTCTGAGGTAAAATATAACATATGCAAAGAAATATTATTTTCTCGACTCCAATCTATCTCATTTATTTTAAGCCAATGAAAAACAAATTATAGAAAAAAAGCAGATGTGACCGCGAAACTGGAAAAATTAGTAAGAACCTCAATATGAGGGCTGCAATAATCAATAAACTACCTACACAAATGACATTTACTTGTCACGCGACTTCGATGCAACAACGAACTCCCATATTTTCCATTGCCTGACAAATCATGACATATTCGTTCACGATTGTGATGTTAACACTCAAGTAGCAAAGAATACTAACTGCCTAGCCACGGTGGTGACTCTGCATCGGTGTTGGCCGCTGCTGTGCTGGTAATGCGTGATGAACTGAACGTGACCGCGACCACCTTGTGGAATTTCGCCGCTGCTGCTGCTGTTTGACACCTGCACATGAATATCAGTTATTATCCTTCGACTGCAGCTAACGTGTCTATGCTACAATGCTGCTCCAGTCACCTTTGCATACTCGGGGCAGATAATTAGATGAAATTTACAGCGCATGAGAATAAGAAACACTCTAATGATATAATCACTACTAATACATTTTTGGAAGGCACGCTCTAGATACTGACAAAAAATTGAGAGTAAAAGTTCTGGAAAATGACCTTGTCCATCCATCATAATTATTACCTCCTCTACAGAATCAACTATTATGATATCTACGCACTAAGTTGATTGTCGTAGAAAATCCAACAACCGAACCAACACCCTTGCAGATGTTGAAAATCTTGGAGTTTCTTTAACAAATCCTATTGCAACCCAAGCCCCGTTTCAAATAACTAGAGACAGTATAACTATAAAAACATATTCAATAAATATGTTAAGAAAACTTAATGCATCAGGAGCTTCAGTACAAAGTAACTGTGAAATTTGTACGGATTTCTGATAGGTACGTTCCCTGATAGCTATTGCCTTTAGTTTACTAATCATGAGAGAAATCATTCAGAAGGCTCATATATATTATTATTATTATTATTCCCAAGGCTCATATATACGTATTATTCTTATTATTATTCACAAGGTCTCGCCTCAAAAATGATGGTGAGTGTGGAGGTGGGGGTGAGGCTGGACACCTTCCAGCCGCTGGTGCCACTGACGCCCACCTCGACTTCTGACACGTTAGGACCTTTGATGTTGGCACTTGTGCACGGCCCCACGCAACCTGACACTGCAATGTCCATGTGTATTAATAATAATCAGAACTGCATTGTTACTATAGGAAAATAACTAACCAACAACAACGAAGGTGAAACCACTTGACATTTATTGCTAACATATTACTACTAGTTATGAATAATGTAAAAACTCGCATTAAAATTGAGAAATAGATGCCAATTCTAAAGGAAATGAAGTACAAGTCTCCAGATTATGAGTTTCAACAGCAATCAATGTAGAGCGCGCATTTATTCAAACCTTTGAGTTCTCTAGAAGTCTTGACTTCAACAGTTGCATTGAAGGCCATCTCGAGGTTGCCATCGTCGTCCTGAACGAAGACTCGCTGGAATGTTTGTTTGAAGAGAGACGAGTTGAAGGAATCTCCCAGCACCATGTGGCCCCTGAGGAAATAAGTAATCATTAGTAAAAAGATGAAGTCTGAATTATCGTTGGTTAGGTACTCCGTTGACATAAGAACTGACAAACATCAAAATAAAGACTTACATTATAGTTTTTAGTAGATAATAACAATCATTATAAATACCGACATGAAAACACGCAGCCATGGAAAAAGAACTAATTTTATACATAATGCACGTGGTTGTGGTGACGACGTATTTGGCAATTTTATTTTAGTTTATAACTTAATTACAATACAAAACATTTCCTATCTACCTACTACAGTTGCTTAATTACATAAACACAAGAATCAACCATATATTTTGGGATCAATGTGAGAGAATTTTCGGAGAAAATTGAATTATTTAGCATATACGTATATACCAGAGTAACTCAGTTACAATTGAAAAGTATAAGAAAATACTGCGGTGCCGATGTTCACGAACAAACACCATACCAAAAGTTCGCTCAAAAAGCATAATAGGGCCCAAAACAATTGAATTTAGAACTAATAAATGAAGTAAACAAAATTCTTCCCTAAAAACATTTTTCTTCAACGTAACTACGCGGGGCTTCTCAATTTCATCTGTTATCTGAGTTCTGAGTTAGTTTTGCGTTATACCTTCTGCATTTTGGACGGTTTTAATAAGATATTTTTCGTGAGAAAAATCAAGATAGTTGCTTCAGCACGTCATACTGGGCAGACATTGGAGAAATACGTGTCTGTATTTTACATACATAATTGGCAATAATCTGTTATTATGGCACAACTTTCGAATATTTCTTTGTCAAGTAACTATTTAGTTGACGTAGGAAGCGTTCGAAAACAAAGATGCAACTCCATTGTAATACAAAATTGAAGTTGTAAACGAGATCTTTTTCTAGTCATGACATCAATAATTAAGAGAAGCGAGAGGCAATGATGTTGTACAGGGACTGACCCAGTGAGGTTGCACAGATGCTTCATCTCGTACAGGCCGACCTGGTCCAACGCACAGGCGTACAGGTCCACCGCATGCCCGTTGGCAGCTGCTCTCTTTGCCACCCCTTCGTAAAATTTGTTGGCTTTCTTCACGAACTTGGCCGAATCCTGAGGACATAAGAATAAATCCAAGTAATGTTTTCTGCATGTTTTCTCTGTGAAACTATCCTAGTTTATGATACAACCGCCACAAATAAACATAGATACAATACATATTCCTACGAAGTAACGTCTATATCGTGGACAAGATGTAGCACATCCCAAGAGTCAGCGCACCGACTCGCAGATGCAATAATATCATAATTCAAAGGAACTACTCAAGGAGAACTAGGTGAACATAATAGGGAGCCAAAACCTTTATTATATCAACCTTTTCTATGTCGTGATGGCTTCTGATGGGATTCTTGAGTTCGTCATCCACCACCATGCCAGGACCGTACAGGCAGGCGCCGCCTACGAACGTCATGATGCGACCACCACTGTTCGGGTAGCAGGCCTGCCAGATTGTTACTTTCATATTCATAGTGAGTCTCCATTATGACTGATAGAATAAGTTGATAATCGTTAGATAAATATTCGAACGGTATTCTCATCAAGCTATAAATAGGATTTACAAATGATGCAATATGTACGTCTGCGTCAGGATTTCAGATTTTGAGTCCTCTTATTCAATGGACATTCAGTTGGATAATTTTCAGGTGCTACAGCTAAAATGTCTACTTAGCACTAATGAAATATGCAATATTACTTGATTAGCATGCACATGGTACCAAAAGAAATTCAAAAACAAAGATCAACAAAAGCTCGTTCAGAGAATAGTCTGTCCAGACGTCCATGCCCAAGTGTAACCATCGAATATACAGCGAAAAAATTGAGCTCACCTCGAGGAGCCCCACGGCGATGGTGATGGCGGCTCCAGTGGCTCTGAGCGAGCGGTGCCCCGACTGGGTGGGCCAAGGATCCCTCCTGAGGTCTCCGATGATGTCCTGCAGCAGGAGCTCGCTTGTTGCCTGGGAACACAAACTGCTTGCGCATTCCTTCTGATGCCACTGATGTCAACACCAAGGTACTCCTGCACGCTCTTGGCAGTCTGGTCCTGTCAGCTATGGAAAGATCGGGTTCCAAAGGCCGGATCCCTTGTGAATCAAGTCACAAAAATTCAAGAATCGGCAACAGGCCATGGGCCTATTTCTTCAGTGCCAATATTTCTATTCTATTCTATTATGTTTTTAGGCCTATGAACGAACGATTCATTTGTCTTTCATTCATGCTTCAGAATATAGTATCATAGGGCTGAAAATTTATTCTTCCATTGAGAAAAACATACACTTAACACATTGATGGTAAAATGTAATTGGAAAATAAAAATATACAAAATCATGTGGCTTCACCGGCCTTCAAAGACTATTTTCTTCCACTAGGCGAAAATTTCAAAATAAAAAGGCAAGAATCAAAGGCAAGATTATAACCCTAAAAGCTTACAAGTAAGATGCTACCAGAATTGTTTCTGTATTAATTCTAAATTTTGATCTGCACTGAAGAATTGAAGGCCACAGCACACTGACCGCTAAGGTGTACTCAATGGTTGAGGACTTAGGGAAAAGTTCGGCAGGTTGGTTGCTCTCGCTCATGTTGGTGTAGTTGCTGGGAAACTGGTTGCGCAGGAAACAAAAGCAGCACATCCACAGCTTTGACCGAAAGTCAACCTGAAAATATCATGCATATTTAGAGACTAGTAAGGAATCAAAATTTTATTTGTAAGTAAGTTGAAGGAATGTATCGTAGTACGACTACTGCCCAGTACGCTTTGAATCACAGGAAAAAAAACTTGTATTCCATCAATAATTCAATTCCATGTTATTTTAAAGCTTCAGCATAAACAATATTCTAAGGTGAAGACAAAAGTAACATCAACAATATCAATGCCTTGGACATAAATGAGTATGTATCAATAGCCTCAACACATTACACTTCGCAAATGTGATTCATTACGTTCAATTACCATGGATAAACAGAATTTTAGTTTAATAATAGTCCCTTATTAAAAAGGTCAGTCCTACTTGGTTACCTTACAGTGTAAAAAGTTTATTTTTGGATGTTAGTCTAACAGCACAGAGATAGTTTGGAAAAAATAGCTCATGTTGGATTTTAATCTCAGCAGATAGAGATGGTTGATGAAAAACTTTTATTTGGAGCATCGAATCTTACCTGACAGTTGGAGTAAATAACAAAACTCTCATTTGGAGCCTAACTCTCACCTGACAGTTAGGGTAAATAACAAAACTCTTATTTGGTGCCTTAAAATCTCACCTGACAGTTAGGGTAATTAACAGAAAAGTCTTATTGGGAACCTTAAATATCACCTGACAGTTGGGATAAATAACAAAAAATATAACTCAGTACTCACTGCAGTGAGTGACAGGGAGCGCATTTTCTCGTCGACGAAAACGTGAAGTCACGGACAGACAGACAGCCGGACGTACATGACGAGCACAATAGCCCCTTTTTCCATAAATGAGAAAATGCGCTCAAAACTCTTAGTTGGAACCTCTAATCTCGGCTGACAAAGAAGGTTGATAAGAAGAGCTCATGTTTGGAGGCTTCAGTCTCACCTGACAGAGTGGGTTGAGAATAGCCTGGCACTGCTGTCTCGTGCAGCGCAACGGATCATATAAGAAGAGGAGGGCATACATCAGCCGTGCGTTTCTTGAGAAGAGTGAAGAGGCAGCCCACAGGCACTACCATCCTTGTTGCCTCCACTCTTGTTGTTGGCCAAACGTTCCATGAAAACCTCACACCCTGATAATAAATATGAATGAACCCACTGGTGTTATGATAATTGATTTGATAGTCTAACTTGCCTTAGCACATTTGATCTTAATTATAATATTAAATTAACCAATTTTACTGAGATCCAACGAATCAATAATGTACCTAATTAAATCACTAATTCAATTACAGTGGTAATTTTTTGACTCAAAAGAGTTTCAAAACAAATTTCCAAACTCTCCTAACGAGATCCAAAGAGTTACAAAACGAATTTCATCATCAAATCCTTTCAATTCAAACACCAAAAAACTTGGTGGCAGAGGTCATTTTTGCACACACTTCTGACCATAGTGGCAAATGTGGGATTTTTTACACTCAGTTCGGTTCAAATTAGCTGATCTAATTCAAAAATTTTGTTACAATCCCATAGGATTATTTAATTAATGGGGATGCTAACAACATTAATGAAGGTCAACAAAAACTCTCATTTGCCACTATTCTTCTCATGTGAATGCCAACTCATCTAGAAATTGGCCAAATTTTTAGACAAGTCAGCCCCCTAACCAGAACAAATTATTACAATTTTTAAAGTTCATCAAAAAAATTTAAATCAAAAGTTATATGCCTCCCAAATTGATTGGACCATAAAAAGAAACTTGATGCACTGAGCTTACAAATCAATACGAAATGTTTTTTGGACTATAGATAAAAAATAGAGAGCTTACCTCATTGTTCTCCTGGGGCCATACTTTCAAAACTCGCTAAGTTAACGTAAGTACTTACGCACTATTTTCTTGTCTATGATTGGTGGATTTGGCTTGAATGGCCGCCAATGATTGGCTGATGAACTTACGATCTCTTAACTTTTTTTGAAAGTATGGGCCCTGGTTTTCAATGAATTCAGCCATTGATGGGCCAGCAGGTTGTGCTTGATGCTGCTGTAGCATGGCATCTTGACTGAACTGTTGATGTCCAAACTGCTGCTGCTGCTGTTGTTGTTGTTGCGGTTAGCCAAATTGCTGTAGTTATCCAAACTGTGCCTGTTGTGGCTGCGATTGAAATTGCTGCTATCGCTTTACTATACCAAGATATACTATATCGAGCCATTCCATATCGAGCTATACTAAATCGAGCTATACTAAATCGAGCTATACTAAATCGAGCTATACTATATCGAGCCATACCATATCGAGCCATACCATATCGAGCCATACCATATCGAGCTAGCTATACTATATACCGAGCTCTACTATATCAAGCTATACTATATCGAGCTATACTATATCAAGCTATACTATATCGAGCTATACTATATCAAGCTATACTATATCGAGCTATTATACCAGTCAAGATCTGGAAGTCTGATATGCACACTCGTACATGTGAAGGTCGGTAACCCGATGTCAAAAATAACCCGTTAGTGCGCTCACTTCGTAATGATGAACGTCCTTAACTTCACTTCACCTTCACGTCGCAGGCATTCACTGCCCTGTAAGGGCGCATTCATGTCCCAAATATAATTATTCTTGATAGCCTTTATTTCGTAGTAGTTTGTTCGCGGACCACAACCAACACCAATAACAGCCATATTGCACGTGGATCACAACCAACACCAATAACAGTTAATATTGCTCACGGACCACAACCAACACCAATAACAATAATATTGCACGCCGACCACAACCAACATCAATAACAGACTAACAGTCATATTGCTCGCGGATCACAAACAACGATAGGTTATTTGTTGTTCCTGAGTGTTCTTTACTGTGTTTTGAGCACTATTCCTTGTTTAATGAGTATTAATATAAGGCACAAATATAGTCATAACGAAGTTCTAATATAGTATAGCTCAACGTCATAATCTCCGTCTCAACCTTTCTGCAAAAAGCCTGGAGTGGCACTGAAGCCACTTATGCATTTGCTAGAATGTCTTCCCGGCAGCAAAAAGTTGCGAGACACCACTAGACTACAGTAAAACACTTATTTATCTAAAAAAAACAGAGAATCTTTAGCATCATAGTTAAAAGTTTGGTTTATTGTGAAAATTGTTCCAATTTGGCCACTGTCCGAACCAATTTGCACAATACTGTTGAACCAAATAGATATTTTATTTAAAATAAACGTGAACCTAGCAGTAGCTCCAACGTTCTTGCCAATGCTCTATGTAGAAGCAAAAAGAGTACGAGGAGAACACCAGCATCGCTCCTATATCTAAAAAAATGCCTGCATCATTGCAGCAGGTCAAAGCAACTTGTTCCTTAGGATCACCCTGAAGCCTGCTTTTATTTCCTATCCCTCACAGGAACACGTTGCCGGTTCACCACTTTGCTTTAAATGCCTCATTGAGAGACTTGGATGCCTGCTGCGCTGCCTTCACGTTCACAAATTTTCATAATTGATGCTTTCACCTCCATCAATATGCGAGGAATTGGTGACATCGCATCCACCTTACAATGAACGCCGTCACATCCACCCACATTCTTGTGATAAATGTCATGACATCCACTTCATGATTCATGCTTAAGCGCGCTGGTCCCTTAGCTGTTGGGCCTCAACACGGTGCTGTTCGTGGGGTCCGACATGATGCTGCTGGTGAATACCGACATGATGCTGTTCGTGGGGTCCGACATGATGCTGCTGGTGAATACCGACATGATGCTGTTCGTGGGGTCCGACATGATGCTGCTGTTGAGGACCGACATGATGCTGTTCGTGGGGTCCGACACGGTGTCACAGGTGAGGCCCGACCCCATGCCGCAGGTGTGGCCCGTCGAGGGGCCCTTCATGGGGCCCGACATGACGGCCCCAATTAATTGGTCGGTCAGCATGTTCTTAACAACTGCTTCTTCTTCTTGAGTTCATGTTTATCACTGGAAAGAATTGTTAAATTATTTATTTATGGATAGAGTTATTCTAAAATTTTTATTTTGACACGAGCCTGGAGGAACAACACGTTTGCTTTGCTGAGAAGAGCTTCTGAGTCTGAAGTATTTCACAAGCGATCGTGCAGCGTAGCTTCGCTTGTCTCGTGGAGATTCAATCATTCCTTTGGAATGAAGATTAAAAGCGCGTCGATTTGACGATGTTAGTTTCTTATGAATATTTTCAGAAGTGGTAACAACAGATCATCAAATACTAGGTAGCGTTCTGTTGTGATATAGAATTACTAGACTTTCATTGGATTTCGTTTTCCACCATATTCTTACTCTAAAAGTATTTACCATTCATTGGCTTTGAATAGTTAAGGGAGAATGGTTCAAAGAATCCTCATCTTAGGGACTCAATTCATCCTATCATAAGCCAAAATTATTTGAATTTAGATCAACCAAGACGACTAAGAATTTTTCTTATTAAAGATTTAGATCTTTGTGAGTTAGTTAAACGGCTAGATAGTACACTACCGCTTAAAAAATTTTGCTATCTCGCACCGAAAATCGTTAATAAACACCACCAACAAGGTGAAATATCTCAATTATGACAAATTTCTCAAATCAGAATCGTTCATCACTCACAAGCACAGACAATTCAGAAGTTCCCCCTTAATGAGATAGACAACAGATTTTCTAGTTCAATGACAGGCCAATATATCGCGTACGAAGTTTTCCATGTCGACGTTGACAATGAAGATCTATATTTTTAATTTCGTTAGGATCATTTATTGCTTGAACACTCATTTTTCATTTATCAGCCAATATATTATCAGGCAGACGACCTGTTGGTAATGTGCTGTCGGCAAATCGTAAATTAATTTAATTTACTCATCAAATGATTTTTTATTTTCTGATTACATTCTCAGATTATCCATGAGTAAATGTCAATGAATGAGCATTCCATTAATTGTTCTACAATTAATATTAATGCTTCTGTACATAAAATGATCTATTATGCTTCTGTTCCATTTAGGATTGATACTGACGACTGTCATGGCTGCACGCCATGAGGTAAGTATAGTTTAGTTTGCCTTACGATCATTTTCTGGGATAAAAGTTTCATTGTAGTGTTCAGTAGTAAGGGATCTATGTTATACGAGACGTTCACATTTACGCGTTGCAATTCTTGACGCAGCAAGCGTCTCGTATTATTTTTGTACCCATAACTGTCAATATGATGGTAGGGTTGAAATATAGTAATCCTTATACGAGCGGTGTCTTAGCGTGGTTAGAGAAGGATGATATAAAATACATACAAAGAGCAGATAAAAGTTACATTAATTAATAGATATACTGATGATAAACTTGCTTTCTTTCCCAGTGTACCTAAACTCACATGCTAACTTTCTGAGCGCGTGATTCAACAACAGGTTCAAAATTTGTAACCTGCAGGCACTACCAAACTTCACCTCACCGTTTCGATGATAAATAAATTTATTTTCATATTGATATTCATTCGTGTTATAAGATATAACGCAATTCCAGAACGGAGGAAAAATGTTTACTACAATTAAATACTGAATTATACTATGTGCCGACTTATAAGGAATTTATCATAAACTCGCAATTTTCGCTAAATATGCATTACTGAGCGGGATATCACTTGCATATATAATTCAGAAATAGAATGCTTCAGGAAAGAATATTAAACCCACTCCGACTCATGATTATTTGTTAAAATTTTTCCTTCAATGTTGTTCATATGTTCACGAAACTTAGATAAAAGTTGTTAGGAATAAATAAAATGCGATCCTTGACTGAGATCAAGATGGTCGGGGCCTCTGTCAACACATGTCTTCGGCCCAATTATAAATAAAATAAATAAATAAAATAAAATGTCATGGATCAAAACTTAATAGCGTTTCCCACGCTGTATTTCGAAACACGAATGAAACGGAAAATGAAGTAAATTCCAGTGTTCATTCAATCACGCACTGACGCTTATGAACGTAAACTACACAGCTTTAGCAAGTTTTTTTAGGCACCCATGGAAGTATCCTTCACAATACGAAGCGATATAATTCTGCTCTTGAAAATAATGTTTACATCGATTGCAGGATGCCTATGAGTTACTATAGGTTTATGTAGAAAGGAGTTACGTCAACTTACGTAGCAAAAAGTAATATTAGAATTTCAATGAGGCTAACGAGAACAAAATGGAATGCGAATATAGAAAAATGACAGTAATTTTTGAAAGGTATTGAATTTATGTCGCACTATGGGAGCTAATTGTGGTCTGCATAATTTTTATTCGCAAAGGAAATTTTCAATCACCTGTGTCGTAAGGTTTCGACTAGCTTGATTTCAGCTTCCGGCATCTATAGTTTCCTTGTCACGTTGTCAGTTGTTGTCCAGGTGTCGCTGAGTACGGTTGTGTTTTTGCTCTTCTGGCATTTTTAAAGTGTTCCTGCTATCGTTCTCTCCTGAGGAACCGCCGGCTGGCGATAGCAATTCTGCATCTTTCTCTGTGCTTCATTAGCTTATTAGTTCTTATGAACTTGAAGGCGGTGGAACATTCCTAAAATATTTGCATGATAAGTAGAGGGATGATGGTATCCTACCTCTCCTCTACAGGTGATGCTGCGTCTCGCCGCTCTGGAATGCGCAGGCTGTCTCATCCAGCATTGTGTACACTGTACATGCTGAAGTCAGGAAATGGATCATGGATACAAACTACGATATCTTGATCCTGCAAAATATTCACTTTATATATTTTCATTTAATTCATCTGGGGTAACAAAGTTCTTCAAAATCNCATCTGTCGCCTGCGTGTGCATCTGTCGCCTGCGTGTGCATCTGTCGCCTGCGTGTGCATCTGTCGCCTGCGTGTGCATCTGTCGCCTGCGTGTGCATCTGTCGCCTGCGTGTGCATCTGTCGCCTGCGTGTGCATCTGTCGCCTGCGTGTATCTGTCGCCTGCGTGTATCTATCGCGGGCGTGCGCCTGTCGCCTGCGTATATCTGTCGCCTGCGTGTATCTTTTGCCTGCGTGTATCTGTCGCCTGCGTGTATTTTTCGCCTTCGTGTATCTGTCGCCTGCGTGTATCTTTCGCCTGCGTGTATCTGTCGCCTGCGTGTATCTTTCGCCTGCGTGCATCTGTCGCTTATGTGTATCTGTCGCCTGCGTGTGCATCTGTCGCCTGCGTGCGCCTGTCGCCTGCGTGTACTTGTCGCCTGCGTGTACATGTCGCCTGCGTGTACTTGTCGCCTGCGTGTACTTTTCGCCTGCGTGTACATGTCGCCTGCGTGTACCTGTTGCCTACGTGTACCTGTCGCCTTCGTTTACCTGTCGCCTGCGTGTACCTGTCGCCTGCGTGTACCTGTCGCCTGTTTGTTGGGGCGTCATTTTTGTTTGTTGAGACAAACGCTTGATGCGGACGGGGGGTTTAAAAGGGGTTACTCGTACCCTGGGGTTCAGAGGAGGGTTACTCGTACTTTGGGGTTCAGAGGAGGGTTACTTGGTGCACAAAATTGGTGGTGCACGGCTGCGCTCCCATTATTATCAATGGATCAGAGATTTTCTAGTAGGTAGACGACAACGTGTCAGCATTAACGGAACCGTGTCAGACTGGGCATCAGTGCGCAGTGGCATGCCACAAGGAAGCGTTCTTGGGCCTATTTTGTTTGTTGCTTATATAAATGATCTGCCAGAAGTAGTGTCCAGCGTGTGCTGACTGTGCTCCATGTATGCCGACAATACAAAAGTTTATAATAGAGTGAAGGATGTGGCAAATAAAGTGCAATTGCAAGATGATCTCGACAGTTTAGTTAACTGGGCTGATATGTGGCAGCTGCGGTTTAATGCTTTAAAGTGTAAATTATTTAACCTTGGGAGGAACAATGAACAGCAAGATTACAGTATGAAAAGACATGGTTACAGCGAGAGCGTAATGATTGAAAAGTCTAGTGTGGAAAAAGATCTTGGAGTTTATGTTGACAAGGAGCTGAAATTTTCTAGGCATGTTGTAATGAAAGCTAATACATCCAACAAACTTCTTTGTCTAATCAGACGCTCTTATCAGTTGACCAGTTCCTACATGCAGGAGCAATGAAGCAGTTGTTTGTTGCTGTCATGCGCCCGAATCTAGAGTTTTGAAGCGTTGTGTGGTCACCGAGATTTGAAAAGGACAAAAATTAATTAGAGAATGTTCAAAGACGTGCAATAAGGATAATTCCAGGCTTGAAGGGCATGTCCTGTGAAGAAAGATTAAGGACTATGAAGCTTCCAAGCCTCAGTTATTGCCCGATTGGAAATTAAAGGGAATGAGCAGGAGTACTCTAATTCACAATTCTCCCGGAAGTGCAAAGAACAGCCATTGCGCGGATTTCATTAGAGATCTTGAACATTCTCACGGAATTGCTATGTTTACACGATTAAACATTTACACGATTAACATTTCAATTTTGTCTAAAAAAGATTACTCCTTTCATTGCTTTAATCCTAAGGCATAGAAAAGAATTGTTTTACTGTGCTGCCTTCGATCATGCGCCATTGTATCTCCTCCTACGATGTGTCACTGCACACAACACAACTGTTGCCACTTTTTTTTTCTTTTGAGTCAGCCGTGATCAAAATTTGTCCGTGATCATTAGCATTTCACTGTACTATTTATTTTGTGCTTTTGGTTTTGTGGAGAGTAAACCAAGTGCGCCTCAGCGCTGCGTTGGTACTCATGCCGAGTCACGTAAGCACTTGACGACGTTTACACCTTGTTTTCTCTCATCTACAACTGAAAAACAATACATTCTTGAACTAGTAAAACAATGGCCTGTTAGACATGTAAATATCCTCTCGTAGCGTTAAGTGTAGTTCAAGTTTGAGTAAAATAAATACAGTCGCCGCTCCTCCAAATATTGCGCAGAAATGAAATAACATGAGTTCTGACATCAGTTAAGCGTTTAGTGTGCGTTGTTAACAAGAGTAAATATAACCGAAAAGTTGAAAGCTCCATCTGGAGGCCGCACATTCAAAAAATAAAGAGTGTTCGTAATTCTGTCGTCCAATCATGCATGACAACATTTCAATCTAAAGCCACCAATCACAGACCAGAAATCGGACGCTTAGTGTAGTTTGGCCGCTATTTGTACTAAGCAAGTTTTGACTTGAGAGTTTACGCTTTCTTAATACATGAAAATGCGTGTACTTATGCCCCGCTGTCAGCGGAATTCGTGTAGAGCGATTAGCTTATCGCCTAGAACTGAATGTTGTACATGACCTTTGGTGAGTTATATTACTATACTGTTCATGTTGCGAGCTAAAACTCATCCTTGAATACATAAATAAATAGGTTATACTTCAGTTTTCTGTCGTATGCACACATTTTGAGATTTGTGCCCATTACTATTAAGAAACTTTCCATTATGTCACAATTCACATGATTTGAATACATTACCTTTGAATCATTACCTTTTTTATGTTCAAATTTTATGTTTTTTTTTATGTTTTTAGGAGTTTTTTATGTTCAAATGAATGGCCATAATTTCAGATAGAAGGTCTTACTTTCCCCGTGACGGTTCATTATAATAAGAAAACTGAAGAAGATTATTTGACTGCCGCATACAACAAAATCTGCAAGATACACAGACAGCTTCCTGACGGAGAAATACTCGTCTTCCTCACAGGTATGGGGTGTCATTTTCGCCGTGACTAGTGGATATTTCCTCATTTATTTAAGTGAGATTCTTACCTGTCATCGTACATATTTTTTTATCCAAAACATTTTTACTTTAAATAAACTAGGTCATTTCCTTTCTTGATCTGAAATGAATATTCCCTCATTTATTTAAGTGAGATTCTTACGTGTCTTCGTACATATCTTTTTATCCAAAATATTTTTACTTGAATTAAAATCGGTTATTTCTTTTCCTAATCTGAAATTTTTTTTACTAAGGTATGTAATGTACTTAGCATTTAATTTCTATTCGTAAACTGAAATGATTTTTACCAAGGTGAGTGACTTAGCATTCATCACTTAGGTAAGGTTTAAGCTTGTTCTGTCCTCCTCAGGTCAACAGGAAGTTAATTTGTTGTGCCGCAAGCTGCGCGCAACCTTCCCAGCCACCAGCCTGCCGGACACTGAGCAGTGAGCAACCTTACGATAGAGACGCCACCGAATACAGGTATAGTTCACTATTAATCATTTTATTTTTTTTATTCAACTACATATTTTATGTAATTAATAAAACGAAATCAATGGCATGCTTCCTTCTAATAGTACCGGTATCTGTTGTCTTCTGTGCATTCTTATGTTTTTGCAATTGACGATCCTGATTTTTATTTGTAATCACAATTTGTTTACATAAATAGGAAACAGCGTCTCTAGATTTCCTATGTATCTTGCGCTGTGCTGCAAATCAGAAATAAACGTAGTTTTCAGTAAAAAGTTATAAAAAATACATAGTTCAATTGGGAACTGTCATGTCTTTAGTTTTCAGTTGAAAAAGTAAATTTTGAGAGTCTGAATAATCTTCTTTCATTGCTAGCTCTTAATTGGAATATATCATGATAAATTGGATTGAGTCGACATCCCACTCAGTCCTTTTCTTTCATACGCTGTCGCACAGCCAGCACACATACAACACTCGGCTCTCTCATTGCTTCTTGTACATATATATATACGTCCATTCTCACGCTGTGCCCTGGCCACACACCAAATTTCCTTTGCTATCATCTGACCGACATAACTGTATTCATTGTGACCAATATACAATTTTTTGTTCCAGAAAACGTTTGAACAATCTGAAAAAGCAACGCTCAGCTAAGAAAGAACTGCTTTTGAAACAAGCTGCCGAAAAAGAAGCAGAAGCTGAGAATGCTGCTCTGCTCACCAAGAAACTTCTCGAGGTCAACGTGCACGAGTAAGTTTTTCTTCTGACTTTTTAGTAAATCTTTTATCTTATTAACTACATTTCAATCCTCTTTCAGTCCTCTACGGTATCATTTGCAATGCTGAGTCTGCTAGTGTGGAATGTTCTTGAAATCACATCATAATTTTTGAATTGTCGTAACGAAGCAAGAGATTATTTATTGCTTGGCTTGCTACCACTCTAGAATATTATACGCTTCAACTTCGTTAGTTTTGTAAGTGAAGATTGCGCTTTTCGACTTCACTTTGTGTTGCTATTTGTAACTTGATTGTCTACGTCATCAATGGTTGTGACGTGATTAATCTTCTGCCTAAAACAATGATTGTAACGAAAATGATGTATTGAAATTCATCTTGAGAATATGGTTGCTGAGTTGTCATGAATATTTGTGGGTTCCGGGATTTATTTTGCGAGGATGATTCTATATTGGACCGAGTCGGTTTTGAAGCATTTCTGATGCGCAAGACACTAATTATAAATTTATACTGACTGCTTTCTTAAAACCTACGTTGAGTTTGTCGATGATTTCATGCACTTTTTGCTGAAGATTATAACTTTTTAAAAAATATTTAACATACAACAATTGGTTTTCCCATGCCAGATTCGCTGCTGCAGCTTCGGTGTTTCCAGACAACGAAAATAAAGCCAACGAAGGCGACGATATTGAGGACGGCGATGTTACTGAAACATCCAAGTCGAATGAAGAACAAAACCGAGAAGAAGTTCCGTCCGACGATGACTTTGATTTGGGCGAGAACGCTGACGAAGATAAGCTTGGCGACGATGAGAAGAAGGGCGTGGGCAACGAGCAGCCACTGCACGTGTTGCCTCTCTACTCACTCCTGCCTGCTGATCGTCAGAAGCAGGTAGAGTCATTGTTTATGGTTGTTATTGTAATGTTCCTTTTGATTATTATCTCTGCTGAATCAAATCTTTTGTTTTATTACTTTGTTGATTACCAGAAACTCGTGGCTGAATAGAATAAAATTATTTTAACCCTCCATTCTTGAAATGAGTCACAAGAACAGGGATGTTAAATTAGTAAAAAA